TTTGAAATGAGGTGGCTTTATAAATTTATTTAAATTCTTTAAGTTAAGAATGAATCTTTTTTCCCCGTTAGGTTTATCGACTAAAAAATAAGTAGAGATAAATTGACCTTTACAAGGAGTACACGGTTCAATTGCTGCCAACTCTTGTAGATGGGCCATTGCCCTATGTAAGTGAGACTGGTCAGATTCTGGAAGGGAAGGTTCGACTGCTATGTATGACTGCATGGGACTGGACTCGAAGGGTATTTTATATCCCCTGATGCATTGTAGTGTAAAACGGTCGGCACCGATCGCCTTCCATTCGTGGAAGAAGAACCTGAGGTTTCCTGCAGGTTTCGTTACCTTTATTTTTCCGCCTTCTGGGCTGTTGTTTGTGCCGCCGTAGGCTGTGCTTGGTTCTTGGCTTTCTGAGACTCCTGTCGTTGCTGGCTCTGCTTGTATCGAGACGTGCTGGCCGTCTTGTATTGGCTCCGAGACTTGAAGCCCGTTTGCGGTTTCTTGAATTTCACAAACGGGCCCTTCGAGTTTCCCGAACGCTGTATGGTCTGTTTCTTGGGGGGAGGTCTGAGTTCCTGTCCGATTTTTGACATAACTCTAACCTCCTTGACCTTCTCAGAAAGATTAGAACCATAGAGAAATTTGTCGGGGTTAATGCCCTCCAAAGCGTCACGGACTTGCTTGTTTAAGCCTGGAGACACGAATGCTCTTCTAGTGGTTGAGAGGCCACGATGGACTTGAGTTAGTAGCTTTCCCGAATCGCATAAACGACGGAGAAGTTCGAGCTTATCTATCTCTTCGTCGACCAGAAGACTAGAAATAGCTGAGCCCAGGGCAACCAAAGCCGAGCCGACTGTATTTTGTAATGTAATGAATTTTTGATCTCGCTGCACCAAGACTTCCGGCGACATAGCTGCGATTTCCGGATTCTGCTTGGGCGCCTCGAAATTACATTTGTCGGACTCGCGAGAATATTGGTCCAAGAGTTGATCCAATTCTTCTTTGCCAAGCTGGGTTGAGAGCCAGTGACCCCAGCGAGACTCAGGTTCCTCCTGTAAAGGGAACTGCGTACCTCTGGATTTGGAAGGATCCGCACCTAGGATATCCAGCACCTCGGGCTCGAGGCCCCCATCGGACTCGAGATCCACGTCGGGCTCGCGGCCCACGCCAGGTTCGAGGCCCACGCTAGGCCTGAGGTTTGCGGACTCAAGGTCTGCGCCCGACTCGTGGCCCACGCTAGGGTCGCGGCCAGGCTCCCCCAGGGAATTCCCGGGGAGGGAACTGCTCGGTTCTAGACCGAGCTCCGGCGTAAGGATTGTGTCTAGCACAGGTTGTGTCGAGCACAGGTTGCGTCTGGCGCAGGTTGCGTCTAGCGCATTCTGTGGGAGGTTGTATTTCCTCCTCACAGAAACGTTCCCTCTGTCAAGATCATTGTCCTGTAACAGGAGAAAATGGACAGAAGGAAACCGTATGGCACTTGCGATTATCCCCAAGGGGATCTGTTGTGCCATAGCTTTGAGGCCGGTAGTTTTGTCTCTAGGATCTAACAGCGCGGCCTCACTTTCGTAAGGAGAAAGCACTTACCGTAGACTGCGAGGATAACCTCGATTCTCCCTCGAAGAACCGTTCGACTTTCCTGTTTAATTTTTGGATCTTCCGGAGAATTTTCCTTTTTTTGTCTCGTTCTTCTCTGCCTTTCTTCTTACTTTTGGCCATTATGAGAAGAATAATGACAGTTATACGGCAAGATGAACGAGAATACGGCTCTTGTGTGTGACTTCGTCGCGCACAAAGAAAACAATGAAGAAGACATCATGGCCGGGCGGGCCGGGCCCTACAGCGGAAGGTCGTGGCGCGCCATCTTCACCTTTCGGCTCTCAACACGTGACTCAACGGGCCGCAGAGCGGACTACTACAAGTTAAATCTCGAAGACGAGGCTCGAATATAATCATGTATACGGATACCGACAGTCTCATATACCACATCAAGTGCGAGGATGTATACGAGACGTTGAAACGCGATATACATATACGATTCGACACGAGCGATTATCCAGATGACAACGTGTACGGTATACCGCTTGTAAATAAGAAAGTCCCCGGTCTCATGAAAGATGAGAATAATGGTGCGATAATGACGGAATTCGTGGGACACAGAGCGAAAATGTACGCGTTGCGAGTCGATGGTAAGAAGGATACGAAGAAGGCTAAAGGTGTAAAGAATAACGTGGTAGCGCGAACGATAACGTTTGACGATTACACACATTGTCTGCGAGACGAGATAGAAATGACTCGCCGACAAACTTGTATAAGATCAAAACTACATGAGGTGTACACTATAGCCGAGACGAAAATCGCTCTGAGTCCGTACGACGACAAACGATACATCGTACCCGATTCTACAGAAACGCTGCCATGGGGGCACTACCGAATACCTTTATAGTATATATATATTCATAGTATTGTACATTATAGGATAGTAATAAGTCTATTTTCTTTTATTACAAGTATATGTTTATTCACATATAAATGATGCAATTGCGTACATATGATATACATGTTTAATAGAATAAATGTTATTGAAACGAATTAAACCACATTGTTCTTGTCTATCCATGAATTGTGCGATCCATCGAATCCCAACCATTTCACATAAACCTTGTCACCCTTCCTGCGCAGTACCTTTTCCACAAGATACACATCTGGGTTAGTGGCGCGATGCAACTCGTACTCGCAGAACGCCCCTGCGACGAGTTCTCCGCGATAATCCTCGAGTAGATACGTTACGGGATTGGTGCGTTGTACTGTAACGATCTTAAACACCTCGGTGGTCCAATTTGGCGTATAACCCTTCTCGAATATCGTCTTGTATCTGCTAACGCGTACCGCGTCGCCCACTTTGAACCTTGCCGGACCGGCGATTTTTAGGGATTGTCCCGATTGCGCACATAACCGATCGGACACGGCAATATTTCCCGATCGGACACAGTCCCGATCGGACACAGGCTCCATCGGACACAGGCCCGATCGGACACAGGCCCGATCGCACACAGGCCCGATCGGACACAGGCCCGATTGCACACAGGCCCGATCGCACACAGGCGCGATCGCACACAGGCGCGATCGCACACAGGCCCGATCGCACACAGGCCCGATCGC